TTTATTATTTAGCTTATTATGGAAAATATTGTTTTAATTTTCAGATGAATGTATGAACAAGTATGGAAATGCAAACGTATGGAAAGAATGTTGCAAAGTTTTTGATTTATTGTCTGTTGCAGCGGTATGATTTCTTTATACCAAGCAATAAAACATATTGCAGTTTTAAATAATATGAACTTTTATGATTTTGACAGTTAATAGACGAAGAAGTATTTTGTGTACATGGTGGTTTATCTCCTGATATTTCTACATTAGATCAAATCAKAGTAATAGAACGCAATCAAGAAATTCCATATAAAGGTAATTCAAGAATGATAATAATATGTAATTGAAGATTTATTTTAATGTTTTAATTTAATTTTTATTATATWTTATTAACTTTTCTTTTAGGAGCATTTTGCGACTTAGTATGGTCTGATCCAGAAGACATTGATAAATGGTCAATTAGCCCACGTGGAGCAGGCTGGTTATTTGGATCTAAAGTCACTGAAGAATTTATGGAAAAAAATCAATTGGAGCTAATTTGTAGAGCACATCAATTGGTTAATGAAGGTATACATTTTWATATGATATAATTAATAGTATTTGCTTTGAATGGATTTCTCCTCCTGCCTAATCACAATTATAGTAAACCTTCTGTCATGTTGATCCTATTTGTTTTATTTATCACACTTTATTATTACCAAGTGTGCGATATTATATTACCATCATTAGTGTACTATGTGCAGTGAAATTGCCAGTAGAGTAGTCATAAATATTAAGTATATACTCAAATTTATTCTTATATTCTGTTTCAACTACTATTCTGGAGAGTAACATTGTTTAACCATTCAGCAGTCAGCACCCTTACCATCAAACATACTGGTGAATTACATAAGATATCACATAAAATAAATTTATATTTTATATTATTTAGAAATGTACAATATTCTGAAGTACACTGGTGAAAATTAGTCACTACAATTCCATACCCATATCAAGGGGCAAAGATAAAATAAGATGTGTTAAAATGTATAGCTGCTATAATTTTTTCCCCAACTTCAATTATTAATTTAGTTTATTTTTAGGTATTATAGTTCATTAGTAACTTTTAATTTGGGAATTTAAACTTAATATTTATTATACATAAAATAATATTGCAGAATTTTAAAAAATATTCACAGAGATCACAAATGTCTACGTTAACTACTCTATTCACATACTTATGAATTATGATCATAGGCAAAGCCAGCCTTCACGTTCAGGGTATGCAAATATTTTTGTCCCTCCCCCTCCAAAAAAAAATAAAATAAAAAATTAATACTATACTTTATTATATTCATAATATTACATCACAATAATAGTTATATACAATGCCAATCACAATATCATACAACGTTTAAACTCCAAACAAAATTGTCTGTGCCACCGCATTCCCTGCACACCCCCTGGTTTCGCCTATGCTTATCAATACCACAGTGGCGTAATTTGGTTATGTTTGTGGGGGGGGGGGGTTAAAATGTTTTAACATTTTACCTATACCCTACCTCCCCATAAAAAAAAATCAAAAGTATTTATTATAAGCATTAAGCACCTTTCAGAATTCAGAGCAATATATTTATGTACACATGAGACATGGAATAAATTTTGATTAATTGTACAAATAGATAAGTTATTTTTAGTTTAATAGGACTACGGAAAAATAGTAGGATAGGATAAGATAGGATAGATATAACAATAGTCTTTAATCTAGATAAAATAATCTTATAATCGTCGAGCGTCGTCGATCCACGATAAAATAATACTTTACTGCTCGGGGTTTATTTTTGTACCAATACACAATGCATAAACAAACTCAAAACATACACAAAACATATTGCAATAGTGATTCTTATAAACTTGCGTGGCTGCATTTAAAACGAACTAGGTACAAAGTATTTATGTACTACTAGCATAAAGGATTTGTTTTTTTTTGTATTATTTCTATAAAGTATAGAATATAGACTATTTATAATAATATTAATTCGCTGAGGTATTTGATTTCAATATATATATATATAACAAAAAATAATAATACTATTATTAGATAAAGAAGTACATAGGTGAATGTAGTTAACCAGTCTTAAAAAAAAGGTCATGGAGGGATACGACACCCAAATCCTCCCCCCCATAATTACGCCACTAGATTACCATATAATAGTAGAATAATATACTGACAACCGAGATAATTAATAACTAATAAGTATTAATTTATATTTTTTTTTAAAGATAATTTAAATTGTTATTAAATTTAGAACAGTGATTAATTGTGTTTACATTGAATAATATATTTTAACTTAATTGTATGCTAATAAAATTGTTATTTCCTCATAAACAATAAACATTTAGAGTGATAAAATTATATTTAATACTTTAATACGAGTTTGACTGCCATTTCAATTTTTTTATCACTACTGTATTTACTTATTTAATTTAAATAAATATATTTTAATGAATTTAATAAAATTACTTTGCAGGGTATAAATACATGTTTAATGATAAACTTGTAACTGTATGGTCAGCACCTAACTATTGTTATCGATGTGGTAATGTTGCATCAATAATGGAATTTACTACTGTTCATGACCGCAAGCCAATATTGTTTAATGCCGTTCCTGACGAACAACGAGTTATTCCAGATAAGGCTGCAACCCCTTACTTTTTGTGATAAGTAAAGCTAATAGGGATTATACATTTTAAAGTTTGTTTAGAAATTGAAAACTGATTGTGTTTATATAATTTATTTTTATTGAAAATCAGCAAACATTATTTGCCTAATTGTCGATATATACAATTATTATTCATAAACTCATTAAAATTAATTATTTTTAAATATTGTGTTTCGTTGATTTTAATGATCACTAAAATATTACCTTTTACCCATCCAATTTATTTATTCCATATTATTATATTTTTAAAATTATGAGTATAACTTACTAGTATGTTGCATGACACTCATTTAGAGCACAGCTTCCTGGATTATTGGTATTATAAAATAATGTTAAGGTGATAATATTAAAAAAAAATTATATAATAGATATTTTTGAAAATTATGTTTTTGATGTATTAGATTTTTTTAATAGTTTAAAGATTATTATTATGTTAAGACAATAAGTTATTTTGTAATCATTAATTGTATTGTTTAAATTGCTTATTCATTGAATTATTTTTTTAAATTAAAAAAAAAATTAGAAATTTTGATTTTTTAACTAAACTTGATTTTATTTTCAATTATAATTTATATTATAGTATTAATTAAAGTTGATACAGTCAAGTCTCGAAAATTTGAACCTTGAATCTCGAATTTTTTAGTGCTTAGTGTTCCTTGAGTGTTTTTAATTATTGTTTGAGGTATAAATATCAAAAAATACATAAACCGAATTTATTGTTATCCCACTTGGGATTTGAGTTATCGAGACTCGACTGTATTTAAATACAATATTGATATATTGACATTATTAATTAGTTCAGCTCAGGATAAATTGCATACCTACTGTTAAAACAAAACYAAGAAGCTTGGTGAGTATTAATATTATATCAATTATCAATTGACTGTATCAATTTTATTATTAGAAGAGTGGTAATTTTATAATTAGACTAAGGATTTATTGTAATCCTTAAATTAGTTTTTGATACAATCGCCACCAGTATCCAAACTCTGAGCTGATTGTTGAAGTATTTGATTCTTTTTGATTTTCTAATTAATTTTATAAGTATTGAAAACATGATGCCACTTGAAAATAAAGTAAATATCAACAATTGTTATATGCCACACCCTACCGCAATACATTCTATTTATCACCTATGACTTATAAGCTGCAAAATATATAATTACACTCCAAATTTACACCTAGTGTGGGGGGGGGGAGTAAGTGTATCCCACTGGTCACTGCCAACATATATTGTTTTAAAAGAAAATAGTTGGAAACTGTTAAATTTTTTGGACGTAACAAAAGATTTTGGTTTTTAAATGTTTGATGTTATTATATTTATTATCATTTTTTAGTAATCAATAAATTTTAATTAATATACATCAATCTTCAACATTATGGTTAAGTCCCGAAGATAATAGAATCCGTAGTTGAACAGTTAGTATACTAAATTGTAAAAAAGCACTTTTCAAAATATTCGGCAAAAAAACAGAAACTTATTACAGAAAATCGGGAATATTATACGTAGAACCAAATTTGGACAAATCGATTTTGGTTTTTAGTTGTAAGTACCTACCTAGTTCAAAAATCAATAACCGTATGGATTTGAAATTTTCATCAGGTAAATCAGGCTAATTGWCATATAGGTATTATTTCATATTTATTTTAGCATTTTTTATACATGATTTTCAAAATATTTTATACTACCAACATATTCACTGTTCGCACCGTTCTGAGATTTATGATATTGACTTATAAAAGTTATTGATAATAATGTATGATATAATATAATGGACGAGGACGATGAGTTGTGTTTGGGAAAAATTATTTCAACATACCTACTATAAGAATTTCTATTAGAAAAATAAATTACTCAGGAACTWATATTACAGTGCCTATGTACCTACTTACTGTTATGTACCACTTATAATATAAATTAGTTTAAAAATAGGGATCGACACACAGTCTCAGATCACAATTGTTTTTCGAGTGTTTAAGTAGTGAGTTACGATGGAATTCAAATGTAACATAAATTACACATCCATTTGTCAACATTGAAGACTATATTAATATTTACTTTATATTACTATATTAACTATATTATTATAATTAAGATTACGCAGTGACTCGCTCAATGACGAGGTACCTCTGGTACCTAACACTCGAAACCTAATACCATAGAACAATACTACAGGCAATACGGCTACAAATCGATTTCATTGGTTTTTGGATAATTTATCTTTAAATGTGTTTGTGTTACTTATTGACTTGGGGTGTTTTTTTTTCGTTGAACTGCATTCCGAAAAATGGCACAGTTGTGCCGATAAGTGAAATGGTGAGATAATAGTGGGTCAGGCCGAGAGCAAACGATGGTGCGCAAGCATCAGTTCACCGCCACACCTAACCATCAACCACCTCGCAGTATATTGATTAAACAGGGTTTCAATTCTTCAAGGTCGGATATTATTAAAACTGGGTCATTGGTACTTTTACTCGATTTTTCCTTTATATTTTTGGTGCCGTAATATATTGTTTACCTTTAAAAATAGTTTTAATTTTATTTCGTAGCAACGATYGAACGGTGAATAATAAAACAAATGTTTTTGTTTGTTTTTTTTTTCTAATGAAATCATTATGTTAAAATTTAATCTGTTCACAGTAAAATATGATTGTGAATTAATTTTTAAATTTAAAAGCGCGTTTGATTTTAGTCTAAACTTCAAAAGTTTACCTGTTTAGAGATATGATGGTGTGTTATGTAGGTACTTATAACATTAAATTATTATACGATATACCTATTGTTAATTATTATTTATTTGTACCTACCAGTGGCRTATTTACGGGGGGAGGATGTGTAGTATAGATCTCCCCTTGGTGTCTTATTTGTTACTTATTTATAATACTGTAATGCTGATGGTAAGTGAACTACCCCTTCCACTTAGGGGAATCAAATGTTTGCTAACGTATATCTCCTCTTGACAAAATCTTAAATACGCCATTGGTACCTACCAACAAATACAAAGTATAAAAATACGAAATTTTAACCGTAAATTATTACAGTAGTCACAAATTCAAAATATCTTCACATTCTCCTAATTAACAACAAACAATATGTCAATATTGTATTTATCTTGATCTATCTGTGTTACTACGCAGATCTGGCGATGCTGTATATACTGCAGGTGTATGTATTATTTTATTTGTGATCTGCGAGTTGACCTTGTTTTCACTGATTTGTAAATGTTGAATATTAAAGTATGTGATCTGATTATCATTATTCCTTATAGTTGTTGGATTCAGACATTATAGACTTCACTTTGTTGCGATTTATATGGTACACATGCATCTATCTATGGCAACATTACATAAGGTCGTGTGAATTACAAATTGCTAAATTAGTTTCAGAAAACAATAATAATATGGCAGATGAAGGTATTTTTTTATATTTTATATATTATTATATAGTTATTATTCTCTGTTCTACAAAAATACAATAGGTACCTACATGAACTATAATGGCTTAATTTTTCTTGATCCTAGGTTAATACACTCACGTGTGTGACTACTAACTATAAACGTACCTAATATCAATTATGATTAATATTTGGACTCCCACGTATCAAATTGTAAACACTGTCTACCTAATTACAAATGAGTAATGCATACAAATAAGTAAATATATAGTTTCTGAAATATCATAGGTAATTATAAACCATATTATTAATTGTTATATCTTGTATGACTATTTAATTAAAGGCTTATAGGAAATATATTTACTATACATTCATCCTCTCTTTTCTTTAGTTTTTTAAAATAAACTCTTAAAATATACCTATACTACAAGTACCCATGTCGACAGTATATGTACAGATAACAAATATTTGATACCTATACTATTATACATAATTTGATATGTTTGTGTTATAGATAGGAAGTGGGTACTTATGCAGTTATGCACAAACAGTCTGATTATTTTTGATAAATGAGGGACCCTAAGAATTGTAAGATGCCTATAATATACTGTTGACAAACACAATAATAATATATCAATATGATAATATAATATTTCAGGTGTATGCGCGTAATAATATTTTATGAAATAATAACGCATTATAAAAGGTAAACGGGTATCTACTAAAATATCAAAATAAAATTTTGTTATTATTATTAATTAGTCACTAGCAGGTATAGGTAATTATGATATTTATAACTGTTATAAGTACCTATAAGTATTATATAAAATTAAAAATATGAATAGATCATTATTACTCATAATTTAAAATCGAAAATAAAACTCTTGTATAATAATTATAGCTAATAATTCATGAAGTGAAATGTTATTGTGTAAACTACCTGTTTGAAGTAAAAAAAAATGTCATAAGATGATGATATGGGAAGGTRCTCGCAGAAAAGTAAATATCGAATATGATGTACACGTACCTACCTACATCCTGATCTCTCAATAGGTAATCTTGAATAATGGCCACACAGACAGGCATGCAAAAATAGGCTTTAGAGTTTTGGTCAATCATTATACGACGATATCAGTAGTCAGTGCACTATTTGTTTTCTCACATTGACGCAACGTAACAAATTTTCACTCAGCAGAGCCAATCTTGAGTTGTTATAGTCTTAATAATATTATATCTACAACGGATTATCAGATCATCAAACTGTTATCTGTATCTGTACGTTAGTTTTTTAAGATATTTTAATATATTTTATACAAGTTATGATAATTGACAGTATCCATTCATAGAAAATATTACAACTCAAAAATACTTAAATCTCGCTTTAAAGGGTACCTATATAGTATATACATATTATCCAAAAAAAGTCGACAAATAATATTCTAAAATTTGAGTTTGATGTGAAGTAAATGAATTGTAATACCCAAAGCTAAATAATAAAAGCATAATACTAAAGCATAATACTAAAGCTAACAACACGTACATAATGGTTGATTTTGCCAATTATACAAATTTGCTATGMTGAGCGTGCTGCAGGTTAGAAAGAAAAATAATATTATAATATGGTGTGCTGACACCCTCCATCACAAGTTATGAGCATTTAAAATGTACAAACAATTTACGATTTTATAATGCTTGCATCTCACATAAAAATAAAAATATAAAAGGTAACCTTTGGTATTCAGTAGGTAGATAATATTCTTACTTTTAAATTTGATATTAGGTTAATTCACTCTAATACTATAAACATATACCTAGCAGAGTCAGACTTAGTTGCGTCAGACAGAGTTAGACCTTAAATGGATTATTCATAGCGTACAATTTACTATATACTTATTACATTATGTTATTATATGCGTTAGTAAGACGTAAACGAACGTATGCTGGCGTCTCGTCTACAATATTTATTATATTATAATATAATCATATAA